CACAAAGAGAAGTTTGTTTATGCTGCAGTGGGTATGGTATCATAAAAATACACTAATTGTAAACAGACATAACAGAACTACCATTTAAAAATAGAAGAGAATCTTGTCTAAATGGGAAGGTAGCACGACTAAAAGCCCAGTTGAGACCAGATGGCTGGAGAAGGGTATGGATTAGTTTTTCAGTCTGTGCTAACCTGTCTCCTCAAAGTAGTCCCATTGATCCCTGAAAGCTTTCTTACTGGGGAGTTTATAGCCTAAATACAGCTGCAAAACTCCAAGGATTTTCTTTGTAGCATGCACTTGTTGACCTCAGAATTAAATTCTTAGAGGAAAATTTCTGAATCTAAAAAGAAGAATTCTTATGATAGAATGTCAAAAATAGAAATTCGGAGTACCTATTTTTCACCTTGTTTCATTTGATTCACAGAAAGGCAGCTGGCCATGATGGACAGCTTATGGTGCTACTCTGCTTTGCAATGTGGAAGATGAGAAGCAGTTTTAGCTGGATTGCAGGACCACTGCCAGCTACAGGAGACAGCATAATCAACACTTGGCAAAATCTGCCTCATTCTTCAGCCAAGTGTCTGCCAGCCAGAACCCCACTGCTTGAAGGATGGTAACACTAAGGAGAGAATTTCTGCAGGGGAAATTAAAATTCAGAAAAGAAAATAAGACTGTGATTTTTCTGGGTTTCATCAAGATTATAGATGATTTTTCCCTTGATCCTCCAGGAAATGCAAAAATTTAAATAAACTTGGGATTTGTTTCATTTGGATGCTTTAAATTATTCCTTTGAGCCTGTAAGGCCTATGGTCCCTGAACAGACTTCTGCAGCTGCTGCACCTAATTTCATTTTGGCACAGAAAGAGGCTAGGACATGTCTGTGCAGTGTAGTCTTGCTCTTCTCCCTCAAGCAGGAGCTAGAATCATGATTCAATAAAATTTAAAAGTGCCTTTCATCACTTGCATTTGTACAGACTGATAGCAACTTCAAACACAACGAACACAAGCAAAGAAAGCAGAACGTTGTTTACAGGGTGACAGCTGGCTGGCAGGCAGAAATACAATTATGAAAGATAAAAAAGGTAAAATAAAAATGTAAACTATTGATTTCTTAAACTAATTCAGAGCTCTGTTCCTCTTGTTGATCAATAAGGCATGTTCGCTTATGATAATCCAAGGAAAGGTTTGTGGCACTCACACATCACTTAGGACAGTGAAGGTTAAAGGGACTTATTTTCCCCCATCCTTGGTTTTCTGGTGCTCAGAATGTATTTGGAAAGAACTGCTGTCTGAAATAGATATAGAATTGCAGGCTTTAATGTAAATTGGTAAACATATTGTCATAATAAAAATCAAAGAAAAGCAATCACCAGCAATTCAAAATCCCCAGCATTATCTTGGATATAGGGATGAAAGTATGAACTCTGTCAAGCTGTTTTAGCCTAGTGCAGCGTAAAAAGCAATTTAATATGGATCACAGAGAAGTCAGAAACCAAGACACTGCTGATCCAGAGATCAGCAATCACTGTCAAAGCAGACAAAGCTGCTGTTTCATAGTTCTTGGCCTCTTCTGCATTGGACTGTCACCCAGTGACCCCTCACAAGCTATCTGGGACTTGCTTCTGGTTAGTAGGAGTAGTGGCAGAACCTCCCCCTGCCCCTTTGTCAATCCATGACACCTAAATTCAGAGAACACAGAAAGGGCTCTCCAATCAGTTCAGTAAGAGATTACTAAATTGAGTGAGGGAAGGTGTGTATATATATGTATTTTAAATTCTATTTTAAATTATATTAAATGTATTTAAACTTTGACAGATTAATGTCTTGCTCAGCTCCCACTCCCCAAGAACAAAAGAAAGATGCTGATGAGTAGAGCACCCTGTACTCCTCCAGAGACTCTCAGACATTCACTCCCTTAAAGACCAATCATAGAAACTGAGTTAAAATGAGGGGTTTTGAAAAGAAAGTATGGGAGATCCTCGCTCCAAGTTGAGCTTCATTTTTAAGCTGGCAAGACTGACAATTGAGTAGATCTTCAAAATTTAATCTGCAAGAAAAATTCACATCTTTCCCCCATCTGTTTATCTAGTAGCATCTGTAGACAATATCAGTTTTCAACTCATTTAGTATCCGTGGCCTAGAGTTAAAAAACAGTCATGAGTCATTGGCCTGGGCCTACAAAATGTGAAGATCTGTAACTGATCACAACCATGGACTTTACAGTATTTAGTTTCTAAGAGCACAGAAAGCCAGATACACTGCTGAATACAACCAGAGATAAATATCCCCTCTAACTGAAAATCAGTAGCTTGAACTCTAAGGAACTAGCTAACAAGCGAAGGAGCACTATTTTGCAACATTATCTGCTCTGATTAAATACTCCTCCAACAAACAGAAGAATTTAGCCTTCAAGATTGCAGGCATAAAGCAAAATCCTCTGTCTACAGGACTTGATCACATCCAGCATCCTACTCTTTCCACTTGTGTCCTCCTCACAGGATTTCGTGCTGCTGCAAGACTCTTGCAGACTGTTTCACTCTGAGAGCAGCAAGGAGAGTATGTCCACAAAAACACTGCAGAATTTAGCACTAGAAATGCTGGGCACAAAATTCCCTGAGCTAACCTACCAGCTGGAAACAAAGTAAGCTTTCTATCTGGGCAAAGGCAATTTCAGAATGTCAAAAAACCAAAGCCCACTTAGTACTGGACTGTAGAGATGTGTCTTCTCTTTCTGGGAGACCAGAAAGAGAAAACAGTACATGAAGTGACTTTATGCGACTCCAAATGCTAAGGAAAAAATTCTTCATCTATCCAGTTTGCACCTGCAACAGTAATTTCAGGAAACTGTTATTAAAAAACTTTCTTAGCTTCAACCACTCAGAGGGACTTATTTCCCTTAGAAGAGTGAATTAATCCGTTCTTGTCTCTAAATGTATGAGTTTTCTCCTGAATTTCCAGGTACAAACCCCTGAGTACCTATACAAATTCTCAACTAGCCCATTCATTTTTCCTGGAGGGCCTATCTTAAAGTATCTCTGATAATGCCAAAAGTTGTTTCTTTCTCTGAACAGATGGCAGCCACAAAGGCAGTATTCATGCACAAATGAAGTAGCATATCTTGTACCAAAACTCAAATGGACTCACTGTAAAGTAGAACTAGTCATGCTTTAGAGAAAAGCATCTTGCACCTTTACTTTATGTAAATAGATGATGATGAATCCTTTAACATCTAGACAGAAACCCACACATAACACTTTTAAATCCCATTCCCATGCTCATAATATAGTCTTTAAAACCAATATGTTTGTTTTCTAATTTTCTGTGGTTTTAAAATACACTTCTATAGACATTTTAGGAGTTTTTACCTTTGAATTAGCCCTCGTTTTGAGCAGAAATTTGATGGTGAATTAATTTTCATCTTAGAACAGCTCATGTTCAGATTTAAGCACATCGTATCTTATTCAGTCACCAAATTATTCTGAATAATTTGTGACCCACACACACAGGGTAATAGTTTATTTGGGTAGTTCTGACTTCAGTCTTAAACTATCAGAAATTTTGGCACAAATGTACTGACAAATTCATGAAATGGTGATCAAACCCAGAGGCAGTCTTTTTTCAGCTTAAAAAAACCCAAGAGAATTATGCCAGATGCCTTTTCTGATCAAATAAGACAGGAAACTGAAAGCAAGACAAAGAGAAAAGCTGTACAGCCTCATGGTCTTCTGAAACAACAGTGTCATGACAGCCCATGCTCCATGGCATTTGCATCTTCATCTGATATAGTGACTAGTGTTACATAATAAAGCTTTTTCCTGCTATTCCCTAAAATTAAGTGCAGTATACAGTATGTTATGTACACTTGTATCACTGACAGAGAATAATACAAATACTCTGTTGCCAACTCTCAAATGGCAAACACTGTCTTTATACAACTCAATTTTTTGGCTGTATATGGACCTCTTCCTTTTTTTTTTCATGCCTGATAATCTGCCTTGCTTATGTTGCAATTGCCTCTTTTCTTCTCCCCTCCTCAAAACACTTTGGAAGAAAAGATTTTACTTAAAATGAGGAGAAAGCATTGCTCATTCTAACACAAGGTATTGGTAACCAAGTCTGCTAAAACAAGGACTTGCACAGATCAGAAACTAAGCAGCATTTTTAGCACACTGCTACCCCTGATCTACAGTTTGGAATTCTTATGAAAAGAACATATTTTTAGTATCAGATCTTTTATTACGTTAATTCTTTTGTTTGTTGAGGTTCTTCCCCCTCTCCAATTTTAGTCTTCGCTTTTTTGGTATACTGTCCCAAAAAACTGTAATCTGCCTAGCTGGAGCATAAATATATTGCTGCCTGTGAAAAATATGATTAAGTACTAGAGAGCACTGTGGTGATACTATTGTCATACATATATTTGTCTATTAAAAATCTCTTAGGGTTGATGACAAAGTTTAGTTGACTATAGGTCATATTTTTTGGTATTGTATTAAACACATCAACCATCCTTCAGGCTGAACCTCTTGTTATCATAAGGTGTACCTGAAGAAATGCATATGTCTTATTTCCTTGAATCAATCATCTTGTTTCCTTGAATCAAGCTCTACTATTATTCCCCACACCATACAAAGTAAATAAAAATTTCAGCATTTCTTGCCTGTATTAAGAGCTCAATATCATATGTATTATTCATCTAGGTAACATTCCTCTCCCTACTTTAGCAATTAAGATTTCTGCCTTTTACTGAATCAAATGGGGAACAATCTCATTACAACTGCACAAACCCAAAAAAGTTGTACTATCCATTTCTGTCAATCACTGCAAACACAGTTCTAGAATTTCCACAAATCTTTCAAGTGCATGTGCTGTTCCATGTAAGATATTAGATATCCATCTCTAAGATGTAAGATCCATCTCTAAAAAGAGCAGCAGTCTCCAACCTGCAATGACAGAGTGACCGACTGCAAAAACAAGGAGGGAAAAACCAATTGTCCTACCGGTGAACTCCACTGTTGCACATAATGATGTGACAAGCTCCCAGCCTGCTGCAGAGCTCAGACGACACCGAGAGCAATCCGACGCCGGAAGCGCTGCACGCGGTGTACGCGCAGGCGGCCGTGCGCTTGGAGCGGATAAACGACCCTATGAGCCGGTACAGCTCATCCAGGCAGTTGAGAGGCCTCATCAGCTGCAAGGGAGGAACAGAGAGACAGCTGAATATTTGCTCCTGAGAGCACACGAAATACTCTAACAGAGTAGGTCATCAGAGATGCAGGACACCAGGTCTGGCTGAGAAAGCCAAATTCCATGACATAAATACCAAACACAGTCTTCTGATACAGGACACATGACAACTTTCTAAAGCTTTTCAGTTCTCCCCATCACTGTTTCCTTCCTAGTTCTTGTTTATGGAACAGTTTTTCACTTCCCATGAGAACTGTATCCATTAATGGCCTGGGAAAAGAATGGAAGCCATAAAGAAGCAAAATACAACTGTACACACATACAGGAAGATACCGAGACTTGTCAATTGACTTGCTGAGAAAATCAGCTTGCCTTTATGACAACACTGTCCTTTATTTATCAAATGTCTAGTTCCTAATCCTGACTAACAACAGCAAAAAATAAAAATTAACAGATGTGACAAAAACATACTGCAAAGCAGTAACAGTTAACTTTGTAGTAAGACTTAAAATAATCCCAGCATTACTGTACTAAGAATGAATGAAGTAAAGAAGGCAGCTTTCAAGTGAAAAGCTTGTGTCAGAAGAGAAGCCTTCAAAAGTGATCTAGCAACGAAAACCTGTATCTCATGGTGCTTTGTGTAAATGAGATGTTCACAATATAAATTTTCAGACCATCTAATTCCAAATTCCCACTTCTCTTTATTCCAGAAACACTTAAAGATTCCAACAAATTCCCATGCTACTCAAAGAATTAACCTATTGAAAGACAGATGAAATTCCCTAAAGACAGTTTTAACTAGTTAGAGAAATGGCAGCCTCACTTGGCCCTACGATAGTTACTTCACTGTAAAGCATAGTTGTCAAGAAAATTGGCTATAAAAAATAGCATATTTTAACACAGGTGCCAGCAGATTTAACTTGGTTTAGGTCCTACTGGATTAATTTGCATCTGTCAAAATTGATTTTAGCTTGTGCCATCTACTAATGCTATAGACAATGGAGTGAAAGGTACAGCCAAAACTGGATCATGTACTCACTCTTGGCTTGCTCCAGTTGCAAAATAAATGCATTAACTTAACCTAGCATCCCCAGGTCAGATATGGATTACGAGATGCTTTGCTCTTGCCCTTGAATTTTTTGCTGAAATAGATAGGGAACAGGTTTAGGGGCAACAAACACTTCCCTCACAGCTAAACATCCCCTGCTGCACCTGTGACTGCTAGGCAAGCTGCTGACTCCCGAGGGAAGGAGTGGCAAATGTCCTTCTTCCCCCGTGCACAATCCTGCATGGATCCAAGTAACAGGAACCACCAGTCTGTTAAAACCATGGCTGATACTGACATAAAATTTTAGTCTGTCATAGGGTTCAGCTGATGAGCACTGTTATTTCTCAAGCCATAGTAGATAAATCACTTTCATAGGCAAGACCCCAGGAATTCCTTTATTTCCCCTACTGCGGTGCAATACATGAATTAACTCTTCAACAAGAGAAGAGAGCATTAAATGAATTTTTATAGCCCCCGGGATCTCTCAGCCACAGAGGCTTAAAGACAGATGAAAGCATTTGAAGAAAGCCTAAATAAGAAGATTCAGAAGAAATTCTTCTGAGCAGGATGCTGAAGGAGTATTTGGAAAAGCACTTCCAGCTTTCATAACAGAGAATTTCTGCCTGCACCTGTCCTTCCCCATCATACCCCACGTGCTCCTAGGGCAGCAGCATTGCTCTGAAAGCACAGTGAAAAAGGAAGGTAATGATTCCTCTTCTCAAACACAGAAACTCTTCTGCCACACCCTTTAATACAGAACCACATGGTACCACCTAACCCAAAAAACACAGGTGGGAAAAAAAGCTGCAAGAGAGCTCCTCCTTCCCCTGACCGCTCCCCCAGCTTTAAACAATTCAATTTTTGGTGGAATAAGTCTCAGTAACACAGTGTGTAACATGCAGAGTTCAATTAGGCAGTTAACATTTTTATTTACCTTATCTATGTAAGCTGCTTTAGATGTTGAATTTGGAGGCAAGTTTGACTTGTCCAGGTAGAACGCCCTGAAAGAACAAACAGACAAGTAAGGCAAAAACTAATTGTTTCGAGTCCTGAACAAAATTTGTACAAGGGACTATTCTTAGACACCATCCTAAGGTTGGAGGTTTTTTTCAGCTTATGGTAAGAGGGTGAAGGAGTAATACAATAATCAACATGCATTATCAGTCCTTCTTTTAAAGTAATTAAATAAAAAGTAATAAAATAAAGAACCTTTTTTTTTTTTTCTGGAGACAAAAAACCTGTCTCTCTGCCCTTTGACAGAACAGTGGAAAATTTTATCATTCAGTTATCAGAAAAAAAAAAAAACGGGATCTGAAAGTGGCTTTCAACAAAGCTATCCATGGAAAAAAAGGTCTGTGGCAACTGTATGGATTTTAAGAGTGACTTTGGGAAAACTGGCACAGAAACAGTCCCTGAGCTTTTCATTCTACAAGCTTTTTTTATATTTGCTGTATATAAGTGCAGTAACGTAAAAGCAGAATCCCCAACATGAAACACAGTACTGACAGAGGAAACATTTACATGTTCATAATATAAAAAGAAACAAAAAAGCAGAAACCCTACAGGGGACAAATATGCATTATACATGTCTTCTTCAATTCAGGAACCCTAGAGGAATTTTTGTTTTAACTTTCCAACTTATAAGCATCTTAATTGCTCACCACAGAGGAGTGATCATTAAGTATCTCACAGGTAAATATCACACTTATCTTTGTGATAAGATCACAGGTTTTACTGCCTCTGCAGCAACACTTAAATAAGTCTGTCACTGCCACAGCAGTCAAGTTGGACCAGATGATCTTCAAAGGTTGTCTAATCCAAACCATTCCACGTTTCTCTGATCACAAAACACATTCTGCTGGTAGTAAAGCTCCAAAAATCTTCTGTGGCAGCTGAAAATAGAAATATTTGGTAGGCCTCCCTACCTACCAGTGAGAACCAGGCAGCATCTACTAATGCAGAAACTCTGGGCAACATTTAAATGAAACAGAACATGAGAAACCCAACTGAACTGTGGAACACATAGGGAAAAAAAAAAGAGATTCTCCAGCAACAAGCTCAAGGTGTCACTGTGATCTATCTCCACTGTGTGTGCTCAAGGCACAGACCTGAATAAAGGTCACAAGTGAGCCACAACCCAGGCTGGAACTAAGGAGTCTGACAGCCAAATTTCAGTTGCTTTATAAAATGAAAAAAAAAAAGAAAAAAAAAGAAAAAATTGTCCTCTTGCATCCTAGCTCTCAAACAGGAGGATCAGCTGGATCCTCCAGTCATTAAAGCACTGATTCATGTAGTACACAAGGCTAAAAATTGCTCCCCCTCTTATTTTATTATTTCATCTAGGAGAGAAATTACATTGTTGTACTCTTGCTGGGCTGGGGTGCAGACTGCAGATCTGAATACCTGTTACTATTAAATAGTCTGGAATAATTGAGTTGATGAACAAATCCATCCAATCCATCCTTTATTTGTCCAATCCATACATTATTTGTAGTTTTGAAAAACAAGTTCTCCCAAATTTCAGGTTTGAATTAATTCCCTCAGAAAGCACAGCAAAGATAATCTAGTTCTGTTATTCCATTAAGCCTGTTGCATGATCCACAATGCACTCTGTGTCAAAGGAAGCTGGACACTATTGAAAGGAAAATAGGTTTGTGGAGAAAATTACTCATAAATCACTTTGAGTGGCCACAGCACATAAAAGCTACCTCAGCAGCAGCAGACCAACCTTTTTTCTGTGTTAGCAGAACTACAAAACAAAGCTTCATGCTGCTCTCCCCTGAACATTATCAGTCTGAAAGCCTATACTGCTTTTTACTGCCATAGAATAGGAAAATCTGCTTCATTCAGAGACTGTTCAGCAATCCCATCTCTCTGGACTGTTATTCCAGCAAATTCATCTGCTGTAAATGAAACCAGAAACCAAATATGGAACAGTACACTAATTAATGGAGTGAATGGAAAATAATTAACTCAGGGTATAAAATGAAATAACATGGACACGGGAATGGAATATATGGTTATAGGAATTACTCCATTAATTCAGGCAATTATTCACTAACCTAAAAAAAACCCAAATAAAAAATCAACTATACACAACATTCATTTTAAATATAAAAATATCCTGTTACAAGTGAAACTATTCCTTCCCCATCAGATAACACTCCCAGATGTTTCTCAAGTGCTTTATTTTTATTGCTTTTCATAAAAACTGTCTTCAGTATTTTACAGAACATGACAACCTGTGGACAGCATATAAATTTCCAAAGCACTTCGCTTAATTACTAAATGCTTGTTAAGGTCCTTAATCATATTTTATGGGAAAAGTTAATGGCAATCTTGGCATGGTGCCCAATTTGGACAATATTTTCTAATCCATTTGAAATGAACCAGAATGAAATCATAGTTCTTTGTCTCCAAATGTGATGTTAGTTTAGCTTTTAAAGCCTTGCAATTTCTCTAAGATCCAGCAGAAAAGCTTTCCTTTAAAAAAAGAAAAGGTAGATAATCCAATACACAATAAATCTACTGAGGATTATTGCTGTGTTGGACTTTTGTAAGGAATCCCCTAAGCAGCAATGTCAAATAACAGGGACAAGTATCTCAGGGAAAACTAACACCAGGATAAGGTAACAAACATCTTCGGGTTCAAAAAGTAAAATCTCTCACAAGATAAAGGCTTTCCCAAGATGCCTTCCCAGAACCTGAGTACAAAGGAAATGCAGAAGTACTGATGTTTTTTAGTGAAGCATTTTACAGGGTACCCTCCAAAACTCACAAAGACATGTATAAAGTCCTGAAAACTGAAATTTTGCAAACAGAACCCTAAGAAGGTTTCAGACCTGCAGAGACACACATTCCTGAGTAACTTGGAACAGAAAGATAATTCAAGCAAATGCAAATGCTTAGTCTTATTCTCAATTTCTTGTGCCAGTAAGCCCACAGTGTTATCCTATGTATTGCGAATCTTTTTTTTTAAATACAAGGATAGTAAAGAATAATTGGAAAGGGGGAGGTAATGGGGGAGGTAATTGGGTTATGGCATTAAATACCACAAAGTTGATGGTTCTGCTCTAGAATGGTTTTGCTTTGATGTTACAGCACAGAAGAATTTAGGATTTTATTTCCACAGCCCGCATGGCAAACATATAAATTAGTTCCTACTGTCCTCAACAGAAGCATGGAAATGGATCTCAATTCTACTAGATTTTTTGTCCTTCAGTCACAAGATAGTCAAGACCATCTAGAAAAGCACAGTCAGCAAATTGAGAAAGGACACATCAGAATAGAGGTGTGGAGTAGGGTAGGGTGGGAGTCCCTAATTATTTTCTTCAGTCAAATTAAAAAGCACATATTTATGACACAGATAAACAGTATCTCTGTATTTTTTTCATCCTTATGCACATATACTTTTGTATTTCTTTAATAACAATTCTATGTTCTGTCATCTAGTTTTTAACTACACAGGTGAGAGTGTTCATAACATGCTTACTGTATGTATGTGTGTGTGTATATATTAATGCATATAAATTTGTAAATACATTTATATACATCTAATATATATGTAAAAATGCAATTTTTTTTCTGTAGTAAATGTGTCCATTTTCTATTATAGCAAATTATTTCATGTATTCTTCCCACCAAATGGCAAATCTCAATATTCAAGTATAAATTACCAAGTATAAAGATAAATTACCAAGTACAATTACTTTCTCAACCCATGTTAAGACTCAGCAATTTTAAACCATGTTTCCTAGCATCTGTCAGCAATACAATCCTATGTACAGCATCACCAGCATCCTTAGTAGTTACAGAAAGTTTTAATTTTAACAACTGAAAAGCTTCATGACAGTACCATGATTTTAAATTGTCAAAGAGCATATACAGTAATATTTTGACCTCTCACAGCTATTGTGAAAACTGAAGTGCAGAACAGAAAACTTTAGCACCATGTGGCTCTAATCACACGTAATTTGTATTTAATGAGTAAGAAACTCAGTAAGCCCTACCCCTTGGTAAGGTCTTAACACCCCTGTAGCATCACTGGTGAGGCCACACCTCCAATCCTGTGTTCAGTTTTGGGGCAGTGACTACATGGAAGACCTTGGGCTGCTGGATGTGTCCAGAGAAGGGCAATGAAGATGGAGAAAAGCTTGGAGCACAAGTCTTACAAGGACCAACTGAGGGAGCTCGGGTTGTTTAGTCTGAAGAAAAGGAGGCTCGGGGAGACCTTACTGTTCTTCTTGTAATGAGGTGGGGGTTCGCCTCTTCTCCCACACAGCAAGTGATAGAACAAGAGAAAACGGCCTCAATTTGTGCCATAGGAGGAATAGATTGGTTATTAGGAAAAAATTTGTTCACTGAAAGGCTTGTCAAGCGCTGGGACAGATTGCCCAGGGACATGGTTGAGTCAGTCTCCCAGGAGGCATTCAAAAGTTGTGTAGATATGGCACTCAAGGACATGGTTTAGGGGTGGACTTGGCAGTGCCAGGTTAACAGTTGGCCTCAATCTTAAAGGTCTTTTCCAGACCTAAATAATTCTATGATTCCTGGCGTAACCCCATCACAAAGTGGAAAATCAGCTTTTGTCAGTCCCTGCTGATGTCATGGTTTAGGACTGGCATTCTCCAATTTAGTCTTCCCTCTAAAACCACTCCAAGGCATGCACCATTATTCATTCCCCCTTCCCGGCAGGGGGCTGGAGAGCAGAGCTGGAGTCACAAAAGGCAAAGAACACAGGTTGAGATAGGAACAATTTACTAGAAACAGCAATGGTGCAAGAAAACAAATAGTAAGAGCAACAATATTAATGACAAAAGAGTACAAAAGAGAGAGCGATTCCCCCACAAAAGTGGTCTCTGTGGAGCCCACAATCCAACCACAGCTATGCCACCCTATGCTCCCTGTGGCTCAGGACCAGCACCACAATTACTCCACCAGAAGGAACCTCTTCTCCTTGGAAGAAACTCCCTTCCCCTGCCCCTGGCAACGATGTAAGGTG